GAATCACCACTAACATGCCATTAGCATTAGGGCACGACGAGCCTCAATGGCCGAGTTTCATTGTCAAAACTTCCTGGTGTAGTTGTGTGTCATTGAGGAGCTCAGCCCAGGCCGCCCGTCCTCACACAGCAGCCCGTCCTCACACAGCAGCCCGTCCTCACACAGCAGCCCGTCCTCACGCAGCAGCCCGTCCTCACACAGCAGCCCGTCCTCACACAGCTGCCCGTCCTCACACAGCAGCCCGTCCTCACGCAGCAGCCCGTCCTCACACAGCAGCCCGTCCTCACCCAGCAGCCCGTCCTCACACAGCAGCCCGTCCTCACACAGCAGCCCGTCCTCACACAGCAGCCCGTCCTCACACAGCAGCCCGTCCTCACACAGCAGCCCGTCCTCACACAGCAGCCCGTCCTCACACAGCAGCCCGTCCTCACGCAGCAGCCCGTCCTCACACAGCAGCCCGTCCTCACGCAGCAGCCCGTCCTCACACTACAGCCCGTCCTCACACAGCAGCCCGTCCTCACACAGCCGCCCGTCCTCACACTACAGCCCGTCCTCACACAGCAGCCCGTCCTCACGCAGCAGCCCGTCCTCACACTACAGCCCGTCCTCACACAGCAGCCCGTCCTCACACAGCAGCCCGTCCTCACACAGCAGTCCGTCCTCCAAACAAAGACCCAAAAGGGATTCCATCCACCCGCCAAACCCGCTGGTGTTTATGAATGAAAAAGTTTACACACGACTCACAACTGCTGACGTTCGAACACTTCCAGAACAAGTGCTTCACTGACGAATTTTGTTCGAACCACAACGCTGTAAATGCTTCATCCACGTACTACAAATACAAATAATCGCCAACAGAACCAAAACACCTAACCTAACCTATGCCTATATATACACAATATACTAATATATTATAATATTAATTTATATTTGAGAACATTCCCGTTTTAAGTGAACAGCATGTAAAAATTTATGAATGCGTTTGTGGGGTCGACCGCTGGATGTAATGGACTTGAGTCGAGGACAGGTTGACCTAACTATTCAGCATTGTAGTATGAAATAATATAACCTTATATTTTAGAAAATATAAATGTTGAATACGCAGTTGGTTAACATTGATGAATGCGTGGCTGGGGCCGACCGCCGCCTGGACGAGCCTAGCGGGAGGACACACAGCAAAATCCAGCCGCCAGGGCCGCCTCCCCACCCCCTTTTTCATTAATTAAAATACTTTTACAAACGCCTTACAACTTATTATGTTCGAACTTTTCTCGATCGGTGCTTCGCTCATGTCCTCTGTTCGACTTACACGTATTTTAAAGGCTTCACTCGTGTAGTAAGAATACAAATAATTGCCAACAGAACCTAGGTGTAAATATACACAGAACTCTAATAGTACTAATGCGTAATTATGATAAAGCCGATTTTAAATACATTGTATGTTAAAATGTTAATATACAATGAATACATTGTATGTTAAAACATACAATACATTGTATGTTAAAACATACAATACATTGTATGTTGGGGCGGCCCATCAGGTGCTCGTGCATGAGCTCGGCCACCTCGCGCCTTACAACCAGCTGCTGTAGTAGCCTGATGGGACTCTACAGCCTGGGAAGGCAGCTCATCTAGGGGGGGTTGGAAAACCCTGACTTCAAACCTACGCTGTCTCGCGGCCATACACACTTTTGGGAAAAGCTTCAGGAGTCAACCTCGAGGAAAAATCCGGAGCTGTAGCCCCTTAAGGCAGGTCGTTGTTGACTTCAACCCTCGTTCTAGCAGCTCCTGCGACGCCACTGGAACCTAGCGTATTGGCGTTTGACCTTCCATTGGAAAATTTGAGCAACGTGTAAAGGGGGGGGGGGGAGACATAGAGGTGTTGCATGGGTAACAGCTTCTCCATATTGACTGACCTAGGCTTTGCGCCCTGGAGAGGACACTTCTGCCTCGACAAAACGAGCCCAACTCCATAGTCTCGCGAGCTTACAGCATGCATACCATACCATGTATGTTAAAGCAGTAACTTGGAGGAGCATAGACAGGAGGAGGAGTTAGCTCAAGACATGAGACCTCCACTGCCTTGATATAAGGTCTTGGCCGATATGTAATTCAAGGTCCCCGTGGTCCTCCACTGTGCGTGTGTGCACTGGCGCTCAAGGCTGTGCATCTGTTGGCCAAGAGTAAGTGTCTCACAGCCCAGAAATGTTTGTTACTGAGACGACAGGTTTGATGAGCCAGAAGTGTTTGTTACTGAGACGACAGGTTTGATGAGCCAGAAGTGTTTGTTACTGAGACGACAGGTTTGATGAGCCAGAAGTGTTTGTTACTGAAACGACAGGTTTGATGAGCCAGAAGTGTTTGTTACTGAAACGACAGGTTTGATGAGCCAGAAGTGTTTGCTACTGGGACGACAAACAGGGTTTAATCCGTCGGAACCCGTTTTCTTTCTGAGCGGGATTATTGATATTAACCTCCAACAAGTTTTTAGAAGAGTGAACCTTTCTTCGTAAACGTTTTATCAAGGAAAGCCGAGAAGAAAACTGAACTGTGGACATTAGAGGGAATTACGCGCGGGTGAAGTCGTCAAGTTGAAACTTAAAGACATCAATCCAGGACGGACCGAAACGTCGCCACTTTTCCTATGTAACGAAGTGTTAACGAGGCGTTTCGCTTGTGTACTGATTAGAACCCTCAGTAACGGTCTCTCAACACCTAGCCTGTGTTAATCATCATGTACCTATCAATTATTTATTTGCCTAAAATTCCAGCCCTGATTTGCCACATCGTACTAAAAACTTTTGATCCCACGCAGCCCAACTTATCTAATCTACCGACACATAGAAAACGTAGATTTTTAATAACATTTCATACATTGGGGATCATAACGTTCAAAATGAGGTGCATTAGTTGAGGAGTCTTGAGGCGGGTGCCATTGGCCACTGCCACAGCTCGCCAGTGCCACAGCTACACTGCCACAGCTCGCTAGCGCCACACCTACACTACCAAGGCTCGCCAGCGCCACACCTACACTACCAAGGCTCTCCAGCGCCACACCTACACTACCAAGGCTCTCCAGCGCCACACCTACACTACCAAGGCTCTCCAGCGCCACACCTACACTACCAAGGCTCGCCAGCGCCACACCTGCAGTACCAAGGCTCGCCAGTGCCACACCTGCAGTACCAAGGCTCGCCAGTGCCACACCTGCAGTACCAAGGCTCTCCAGCGCCACACCTACACTACCAAGGCTCTCCAGCGCCACACCTACACTACCAAGGCTCTCCAGCGCCACACCTACACTACCAAGGCTCGCCAGCGCCACACCTGCAGTACCAAGGCTCGCCAGTGCCACACCTACACTACCAAGGCTCGCCAGCGCCACACCTGCAGTACCAAGGCTCGCCAGTGCCACACCTACACTACCAAGGCTCGCCAGCGCCACACCTGCAGTACCTAGGCTCGCCAGCGCCACACCTACACTACCAAGGCTCGCCAGCGCCACACCTGCAGTACCAAGGCTCGCCAGTGCCACACCTACACTACCAAGACTCGCCAGCGCCACACCTGCAGTACCAAGGCTCGCCAGCGCCACACCTACACTACCAAGGCTCGCCAGCGCCACACCTGCAGTACCAAGGCTCGCCAGTGCCACACCTGCAGTACCAAGGCTCGCTAGTGCCACACGTGCACAGCCGAACTTCCTAAACAACAAAACACCAGACCGACGTTAGACACAACTACGAAGTTTAATGATGTTAAAAATGAGAAGGGTGAGCATGGGCGCTTTCCTGCCGGTGTTTACCTCGCTAGCCGCCGCCCACCCACGCCCACCCTGCCCACCTGCACCCACCCGCGCCCACCCTGCCCACCCTGTGCCCTTAGGCTCGCAGTCCCCTCCGTCACCTCGACCGAACGCTGCTGGGAAACGCGCCGGAGGCATTTGGGAAGAAGGGAGAGGAGGGAGAGGGGAAGGGAGAGGAGGGAGAGGGGAAGGGAGGAGGAGGGGGGGGGAGCGCAAGCCTTCCAACACGTGGACTGGTTAATCCAATTGAAAGTGGTAATAAAATATGGTTGTGAGCAACAGGATAATCACACGTTTCCACCACACACCACGATCGTCAGCGCCCCGAGGCGGCCCCCGTGCCGGATCACAGACATTAGTGGAGTTCTGGGGGGGTGGGTGGGGGTGGTAGGGGTGGGGGGTGGAGGGGTAATGTTGTGGGGTGTATGGGGTAGTGTTGGGGACAGGGGTGGGGGGGGGGGTCGCGGTGTAAACACTGGCACACGGGCTGCCTTAGGATGTCAGGCGAGTGTTGCTTGTTAGTGCTCATCAACTGAGACAGGAGCCCCGGCTACTCCTTGCCAGCGGCAGGCAGACCAGAAGGCAGACAGACTGACTGACAGACAGACAGCATCCTCCGGGTCATTCATAACCTCATCCCTGCCCCCCCCCCCCCACCTGTACTGTCATTCCTGCACTCTGAACAACGTTTCCACATGCACAAATTAACATAACGTCTGTGTGTGCGTGTACTCACCTAGTTGTGTCTGCAGGATCGAGCATTGACTCTTGGATCCCGCCTTTCCAGCCATCGGTTGTTTACAGCAATGACTCTGGTCCCATTTCCCTATCATACCTAGTTTTAAAATTATGAATAGTATTTGCTTCCACATCCTGCTCCTTAAGTGCATTCCATTTTCCCACTACTCTCACGCTAAAAGAAAACTTCCTAATATCTCTGTGACTCATCTGATTTCCAGCTTCCATCCATGTCCCCTCTTTCTATTATTATTCCGTGTGAACATTTCCTCTCTGTCCACTCTGTCAATCCTCCTGAGTGTTTTATACGTTCCCATCATAACCCCCCTGTGTGTGTGTGTGTGTGTGTGTGTGTGTGTGTGTGTGTGTGTGTGTGTGTGTGTGTGTGTGTGTGCACGCGCGAGTGCGTGTAAGCTTGACCTACAGACACCAGGTGTGGCCGTCATCATCATTGCAAATCACATTTGTCGCTTTTTTTCTGATCAATAATTGACTGTTAACCCCTGTTGGTATTTTTGTTGTATTGTTCCGTTGTTGTATTGTGTTGCCTGACGCTGTATTTTGTATTGCAGCCTCGGTGGGCAGCGTGGAGGAGCAGCACAGCCCGGCGAGCGTGGGGGACCACCCCTCCCTCCCCCAACACCACCCCCACCACCACCTCCACCCTACCCCGGCCTCCACCCCAGTACACCAGGAGGCCGTGAAGCAGGAGGTGCAGGAGGCCACAGGCAGCCCCCGAGGTCCGTCCCCTGGGGTGCTGGTCAGCCCCTGCGGCTCCCCTGGGGAGAGTGGAGGTGACACCACCATGTTCCCCCACCAGGCGGCGGCGGCGGCGGCGGGCGGCAACCCGCAGACTACAGAGAGCCAGAAACTACAGTACCGTGGATCATTCACGACGGCGTCGCAGGTGGGGGGCCTCGGGGGCCCTCAGGTGACCACGCCCTCCCCCACCACCCTCAACGCCTGGGTCTTCCCCAACACCTCGCACGACAAGACCTCCGTCTTCACCCCCATCCTGGGCTTCCTGCAGCAGCCCGCCAGCACCAGCCAGCAGGGCCTGCCCGACCCCTCCGTCTCCGTCGCCGGCGGCTTCTCCGCCACCGGTTACGACGACCGGTTGCCGGCCCTCTCTCTCTCCACCACAGATCTCCTCCTGCCCTTCGACACGCAGCCCGTAGCCCTCAAGCAGCCCCCCACCTACTCCTCCTGCTCCTCCGCCTCCGTCGTCACCACCACCTCCCTCACCACCGCTCAGCTCCAGCAGCAGCAACAGCAGCAGCAGCAGCTGCCCATACAAGGAACACAGCAGCAGCCCCAACAACAGTCTCAACCTCAGCCCCAGCAGCAGCAGCAGCAACAGCAGCAGCAGCAGCTGGCGGGGGTGGGTCAGGGGGCGACGCAGGTGGACTTCAGCCGGGGCATGGTGGGTAACCTGGGCACCAAGTTCCAGTACCCAGTAGCCAGCTTCCCGGCGCAGGTGTCGTACAGCGTGGGGGGCGTGGCGGAGCCCGTGCCCGGGCCCTCGGGCGTGGTGGTGCCCAAGCAGGAGCCGCTGTACCAGGACGCCGCGTCCCTGGCCGAGTACAACCAGTCCACCAGCAAGGGGCACGAGATCCTGTCCCAGGTGTACCAGCAGAGCCCGCTGCCCCTCAAGCTGCTGCCCGTCAAGCCCCGCAAGTACCCCAACAGACCCAGCAAGACGCCCGTCCACGAGCGGCCCTACGCCTGTCCGGTCGAGAACTGCGACAGACGGTTCTCGCGCTCGGATGAGCTGACGCGACATATCCGGATCCACACGGGACAGAAGCCCTTTCAGTGTAGAATCTGCATGAGGTCGTTCTCGCGGTCGGATCACCTGACGACGCACATACGGACGCACACGGGGGAGAAGCCCTTCTGCTGCGACGTCTGCTCCAGAAAGTTCGCGCGCTCCGACGAGAAGAAGAGACACGCCAAAGTTCACCTCAAACAAAAGTTAAAAAAAGTGAGTGGGAGTTCGCCGAGTGCGCCGCCTCCAGCCTCCAGTAGTACCACCAGTGTTGCCCTTGCAGCTGCAGGCGCTAGCTCACAGCAGCAGCAGCAACAGCAACAACAGCCACACCTCCAGCAGACCCCGGCGCAGCAACAGCAGCAACCCGGAGTTCAAGTCCACCACCAGCAGCAGCAGCAGCAGCAACAGTCAGCGCAGCAGCAGCAGCAGCAGCAGCAGCTGGTGACGGCGGGGGTTGTAGGGGCGGGCGGCGTGGTGGTCACGACGGTGTAGACAACCATCCACCTCACTTCTCCATAAGACATTTTTTTACAAGCTTTAACTAAGCTTTATGGGCGGGTGAGGGCGGTGTGCGGGCCAGGTGTGGGCGGGGCGGGTGTAGCGGCCTCCACGCGCCACGCCCGCATAACTCCTCCATTAACCAGTAACTCGGTAACACCAGCGGCGGCCGCCGGCCATCTCCGCTCCCCCTGTGTCTCGCCTCCCCCGTGTCACCCCCCCCCCCCCTCAACCCACTATTTTTGTATAATAAACAGTGGCGGAGAGCCTCGTGTCAGCGGGCTCCCCCCCTCTCCTCTGCTGCTAAGTCAACTCTTGTGTGTGTGTTATTAATGGGGGGAAGAGGGCTCTCAGCGCCCCCCGCCCCCCCCCCCCTCACTGACTGAGAGGCGTCGCCTTGGCCTAAGGTCTCCTCGGTGCCCCCCCCCACCCCCCGTGACTTTCTTGTGACAGTGTTGCCGTGCCATACATAACCTGAACTGTGTCAAGTGTCAGTGCCATCATTCCTTCCCCACCTGGAGCGAGAGGGCGGTGCCCAGAGAGCCCTCCCCGCCCCCCCTCACCCCACACGCGCACGTCACGGGCCCGACTCTGACGTAATGGGTCAGGCTGTGAGGTCATTGGTCAGGCTTTTAGTATCGTCAGTGGTCAGATGTCATTGGCCGAAATTGCATGCCACTGACCGGGCCGTTGTCATTGGTCAGGACACATGATGATGTCACTAGCAGAAAGGTTGGCACTGGAACGACCGATGACGTCATAGACCTGGCTCTGTTGTCATTGGTCAAGCCGTGTGACGTCACTGACCAGGCTGTGCTCCTCAATCGTTGTTTTCTAATATTTGGAATGCCATGTGATGTTAGATTGTGATTTGTGTTCGTCATTATTGTGATCTGTAGCTGTCAACTTTTATTTATATTTTTCTACGTGAATTTTACGTCCGAAACGAGAGGAATATTGAAAACTTAAAAAAAAAAAGGTCTTTGAACTGACTGCCTTGTCACTATCTCCCCCTCCCTCCCCCCCCCCCGTATCCCTGGGGCTACCTGTCTTTCTTCCCCGTAGGTAGGCTCCCCCGTCTCCCTATTCTAGGTAGAGTCTCTCCCTGTCCGGGTAGACTGTCTCTGTAGCTTCCCAAGGGTTGACCACCTGCCCTTTTTAAGAGACCATCTCTCTTCCTCAGGGTGATAACATTAGAAACTAAAACAAGACAATGTAGAGACCGTCTTCCCCCCCTTGTGGCGGGGGGCGACACCGAGGGGAGAGCACATATACCAGTGGGTAGAGAGAGAGAGAGAGGGAGAGAGAGGGGAAAGTGTTGTCCCCGGGCAGGAGAGACGCGCTAGGGTATTGCCCTCACCCTACTACTGACTGTGTCGAGGGTGGCACAAAGTTGGTGACGAGCAGGTGTTTAGTAGTAGCAGACAGCTCCACTCCAGGTAAGCTTGCCTAGGAAACCCAATCGATCTAACCAGAGTCCAGCCAAGCTTAACTGGAATTCAGCTAAACTTACCCGGAATCCAGCCACAGTGAGCCAGATTTTTGTAGAGTGATCAGCTCTGATAAAAGAATCTGCTGTATGTATATTATATATAAATATATTATATATATATATTATATATATTGTATATATATAATATATATATATATATATATATATATATATATATATATATATATATATATATATATATATATATATATATGTCGTACCTAGTAGCCAGAACGCACTTCTCAGCCTACTATGCAAGGCCTGATTTGCCTAATAAGCCAAGTTTTCATGAATTAATGTTTTTTCGACTACCTAACCTACCTAACCTAACCTAACCTAACTTTTTCTGCTACCAAACCTAACCTAACCTATAAAGATAGGTTAGGTTAGGTTAGGTAGGGTTGGTTAGGTTCGGTCATATATCTACGTTAATTTTAACTCCAATAAAAAAAAATTACCTCATACATTAGGAAATGGGTAGCTTTATCATTTCATAAGAACAAAATTAGAGAAAATATAATAATTCACTAAAACTTGGCTTATTAGGCAAATCAGGCCTTGAATAGTAGGCTGAGAAGTGCGTTCTGGCTACTAGGTACGACATATATATATATATATATATATGAAACTGTGGCGGAATGTGATATTGACGGTGATTGAATGAATCTGGAGATAAGCAGGTGGGTAGGATGCAGCATCTCCCTGCTCCCTCAAGCAGGCGGGCGAGTTCCTCAAAGAAACTTGTTAAATGTTACGATTTTCGGATTACTATTTTTTTTTTTTTTTGGAATACAGTGACTCTTAAGGCATATTTCTCAACGCCTGCTTATGCCCCCACAATAAGTTACACTACGCACAAACCATTTCTATAGATCGTTTGTATGTCGTTATTAGATATAATTTTAAGCTGCTCGTCTTTGGGTCTCCGCGATGTTGCGGTTTCCAAAGCTTTTGTGGCAGGAAGAATAATCCAAAGTTTCGTGACGGACAAAATATGAGACATTCAACAATAAAAAAAACAAAAAACTAAATTAATTTGCTGCATGAATCAAATTAAATTCTACACTTTAATGGTGTAAATTCAAGGGAGGGGAAAAATAAGTAAAGCCATTTCTTGAGGCCGGACTTGGAGGGGTTCACCAAGGGTTCACAGTTAACTGCCGCCGGTTCACCACTCGTCCCCAGACTTTGGACTTAACGGTACAAAATCGCCTTATGACTCTATATGCCTGTGAGTTCTTGATTCTTTGTACAAATAACTGTTGGTGTATAGGAAGACTGTTTTATGAGAGAAAAATAAATATATATATATATATATATATATATCAATATTCACAATGTCCAGGAAAGGTGATGCTGGGGTATACATTTGTATCGAAATATCTGTATAACAAGACTTGTATTAAGAGATAAAGGTATACACAACATGTCCAGGAAGTATGTGACGTTAGGGGGTTCTTTTTCATTAAGATGTGTGTGTACAGGAAGCCTTCTTGGCGTGTTGCTAAGATGCGGCGTCCACGATGCTGGCCGTCTTAGCCACAGGTGCCTGGCAAATGGGTCAGCTTGTTTGTTTGTTTGTTCGTTTGTTTGTTGTTGTTGTTGTTGTATGTTTGGAGAGGAAGAGTTTCCAGTGTGTGTGTATATTCAACTTTTAAACGTTTACAGCGACTATGTATTAATCAGATTTTTATATACTTGTGTATGATGGAGACCAGCTCCCTCTCCTCAGAACTTATTGTAAGGCTGAGCACAAATATTATATATATATATATATATATATATATATATATATATATATATATATATATATATATATATATATATATATATATATATATATATATATATGAATCATTGCCACATCTCACGCATTTGGTGGCAGCTAAGTCATATATGGCGACGTCATAAAGCCATATATGGCCACGTCATCAACATCTTCATCTACCCTCTACCCAGGAAAGGTCATCTACAACTTGCAATAGTGTCAATTAGACAATTGGTGTTTTTCAGTGTATTCCATTCGGTAGAAACATGTCACGAAAGCTACATAATAATAATAATAATAATAATAATACAAAAACAAAATTGATTGACACAATGACGACAAGAGGCTAAAGACACGAGGGTTGCCAATGTGTGTGTTCATTGTGGATTATAATGTGGTGTCTTGTTCTCTGTGACGTCATTAGATGACGTCTCCTATTGGGCGATGACGTCATTAGATGGCGGTCTCCTATTGGGCGATGACGTCATGAGATGGCGGTCTCCTATTGGACGATGAGCGCGTGGTGTCGTATGTGTTCCTTGCGAATATATAAAAGGTTGTCAGATTATTAAATTTGTGGAATATTGTTAATTGAGAATGTTATTTATTTACCAAAAATTTTAAATGTTATAAAGTGTGTATAATATACGTGTAAAATACTAATATAATTTTATGCAGAATATCAAATCTTTTCTTGTTTTTCCTTATCTAATATCTAAAGATGATGACCGTGATAGTAAACAAAAGAATAAAGAAAACTGGGGCAGCTCCTATTGGCCTGCACGGGGCAGTTCCTATTGGCCTGCACGGGGCAGCTCCTATTGGCCTGCACGGGGCAGCTCCTATTGGCCTGCACGGGGCAGCTCCTATTGGCCTGCACGGGGCAGTTCCTATTGGCCTGCACGGGGCAGCTCCTATTGGCCTGCACGGGGCAGCTCCTATTGGCCTGCACGGGGCAGCTCCTATTTAAAAAATAAGGATTATTATTCTGGTCTTCAATTTCCAACTTTTAAAGATTATATATATATATATATATATATATATATATATATATATATATATATATATATATATATATATATATATATATATATATATATATATATATATATATATATGTGTGTGTGTATATCACGAAAATAAACACGTGATTAGGAATGTGACAATATCAGACCACGGAGGAAAATGAAACAGGAATTTCCTTAAGTACTTTCGTATATTAAATACATCTATTAAATACATATTCATTCCTTCTGAAGATGTATTTAATATACGAAAGTACTTAAGGAAATTCCTGTTTCATTTTCCTCCGTGGTCTGACATACATATATATATATATATATATATATATATATATATATATATATATATATATATATATATATATATATAATGGGAAGGGAGTACCACCTCTAGCTGGAAGAAGGGGGACCCATAGCCTCGGAGGAAACCACGCATAACGCATTAGAGGGAATGTTTAGATCCCCTCCAATACAGTTTCTGTGTGCTTTTCTCCTACCACCCCCTTCCTTGAATATTTTTTGTGCTTTATTATGCATTTGATGGTTACAAGATATACATGGGTTGATACAAAAATAATAATGCAAAAAGGTGCTTAAAGGTTATGGATCTCTTGAAGAACACAACAATGGGAAACATTGATGAATGTCACAGACGGGTTCGATCATTGTTGCAAGTCAAACACTTCTTCGAATTCCTCTGAAGTTGGACTAGTGCCCAAGACGCAACAGGCATTTCCCCTCTGAATCGCAACACTGAGGCGCTGGAACAAGAAACTTTTTGCTCTCTGGTCTTTTGTAGCGCTGATCAATTTGTCCCCCAATTCCTTCAGGAACTTCAATGCACATTTTCCCCACGAACCGAGGGTCTCCGAGCCGATCGGAACAAAGCTGTAGCAGTGTGCTAGACCTCTGTATTTAATAATTTTCTGCGATTCCCTGAAAGAAGCAGCACCACCGCTTTCACGTGTGCTGTAGTGGAGGTAGGTACTGGCCAGTGTGGCAGCGCACGTGTAGTCCCATACCACTTGCTTACCATCCTTCCAAGGTAGCAAGGTGACCCCATCAGGGCGCTTCTGAGGGTCGTTAGGTCTGGATAAGTGTGGTTCTCTTTGTGCCGGGCAGCGGGCTGTGGCGAGGCTCCTCTTGATGATGTCGTTGACTTCTTCATGTCTTGCAATTTTACCCTGTGATTTACGACATACCAGACCATGACGACCATATTGGTCTGCCATCGCAGTTCCGCAGATGCACCTATGTTCGGTGAGGATGGGGGCGGCAAGGCGAAGATATATATATATATATATATATATATATATATATATATATATATATATATATATATATATATATATATATATATATATATATATAATCACCGAGAGGTATACCCCCTCATCTCCACATACTCACAAGAGTACACTTTAGTGCAGCTGAACAATGTACAGGACTAAACTATACTTGGTGGTCTTCACTGAACCACTGTGACCTTAGTACCTCTCAGAGGGCGAGAGCCCTTAACCACCACTCCAAGGTCAACCTAAACTAACGACTCGACAAAGCTAATGTTTACTGATATGAAAGAGAACTGGAAGCTCTCTCCTAGAGGAAGAGTCAGCAGTGGATTCCTGACCAGCAGACACCAGCCGGGTTTCAACTCTTTTACCCTGTCGTAGCTCAGTCGATTAAGGCAGTGTCTGGGATGCTCCCGGACGCAGGTTCGAATCCTTGTCACGGCCCTTGTGGATTGGTTCACCAGCCGGGTGGTGTCAGTACAACAAGAATACTATAACACTCCACAACTGGTTAATATGAGAAACATGAATATACTTTAAATATGCTACTACACAAAAAGTATGCTGAGTCAGATCAAATATGTACAAATTGGACACTGTACTGTACATGAAGTATACCGAGACAGATAAAGTATACTAAGCCGGATAAAGTATACTGAGAGAAAGTATACCAGGTCGGATAAAGAAGTTAAGAAAGAATAATTATGCTAAGCCAGATAAAGTATACTAAGATAAAATATACTAACTCAGTTAAAGTATATTAAGATAAACTATTGTAAGACAAAGTATACAATAATAAAGTATACTAAGACGAAGTGTACAATGATAAAGTATACTCAAATAAAGTATACTCAAAGTATACTCAAATAGTGTACTGAAATAAAGTGTTCTCAAATAAGGTATACTCAAATAAGGTATATGCAAATAAAGTATACTTAAAGTATACTCAAAGTGTACTCAAATAAAGTATTCTCAAATAAAGTATACTCAAATAAAGTATACTCAAATAAAGT